ATTTAAGAACAACCCACGTTATTTATCGGATCTGAGATTTCCAGAACGTGCGAGTCATACGTCGATTAAAAATTTCTTCGAAGCAAGTCGTAAGAGACAATCAGAAATAATCGACAAATCTCCCTGAGATTTGATCAAGCAATCTAACAACCACTGCCGGTGTCAATGCGCAACAAGTAGAACAAAAAGTCACTTAAAAGTCAAAGTAACTTCATGTAACATTTGTATTGAAATATACAAATTTTATATCTACATTTTGACCTTTCGATCATTTTCGCTGAGAGAACGCAAATCACTCGTGCATGCGAAATAAGTAAAATCTTGAAGATATATTTTAGTTGTGAAAATACTTGATTTTTGAAGAATTAATACCTTGATTTTTATGCTCACAAGTTTCAAAGCTCGAGAATACAAATCTTAAAATATTGACTATTGCACTTTATCGTACAAATCATATTCTTAATATTATAAATTCTTATCGCATTATTTTTGCATCACACACATCTCTAGACACTTTTACTCGTATGTAACAATCAACGATGCAACTTCAATTGACTTTGCCTTCTTCAACCGAAGCGTGCAATATTTATTACTAATTTATTTATTCTTAATATTTATTAACTCATAATAAAGTATATTGTAATCACTCTCTTGCTTGTACATACATAGCTTACGGTCGTAGCGATATTGGCCAAACAATTGATGTGAGATCTTTAACAATTTCGTGAACAGGTAAACAAAATAATGGTTTAATTTCGTTATTAATTTTTTTTGTTAAGAAGGTTTAGTGATGAGTTATGTACGATTTCAGATTACTGGAGAAGAGTCCAAATCGTGTGTTTTTAAAACTAAAAACATTGGCCAATGTGGGTCGTTAAAAATTACATACCATTGGTTTTAACTGCCGGCGATATTAAATTTATCTGCGGCACATTATTTTCGTTAAAAAGAATACTTTACGTTTATTACTACCATTCATTATTATCGTATTTAAATCTTGACATACAATTATTGAACATAGGAAAGAATCCAAAATTAAGTCTCTCACGAACCGTGGCAAACGGGCGATCTCTAAATTTCAAAATCATAATTCGGTCAATTATCGGTTATGATCAAAATATGACTTTTGATGGACATTAATGATGTCATTTTAACTTCGTCATGACTTCTTGTTCCGCTCATAATATTGGTAACATTTCATGCCAGCGTCAAAGCGATGCATTTTCCCTCTGGTCGTCGGATCACCGACGATTAAAACCGTTTTAGAGGCAGAACGACTCGGCGGGGCAGAGGGAACGTTTGTGAGAAAACATACGGAGTTATTTGTCGAAATGTAAATCCAAGCGAGCTGTTATCTCGCGACGTGGCCTAAACGCGAAAATCGAAATACCTCGCACGGCGCGCGCATCTTATCCCGAAAGTCGCTGACGCGGTCCCTCATTCGCGATAGAGTCGAGCTGTCGGGGCGTCTTCTAGCGCCGGGAACGAAGGTGTATTCCCATTCGAGCTGCTCGGGACGAGTCCATGCTCCGGCTTGCGTCTATCTGTTGAGATTTCCTGAGCTACGTGATCGGGATGCGGATGGGCACTGTTCGTGAGGAACGCCGTGAGGACATATTCCGACGCGGGTTCGCGCGCGCTCCGGCGATCTGGGACGGGCGTATCGCAAAATTGTATGAGGCGAGAGGATCGTTTCGATACTGGTACGACCGATCGAAAGTGATTCCCTTTACGGCGCTCGCGGAAAACGGCGTTATTCTCGGACGAAAGACAGCGCTTTTTTAGCAAGTCGGGAAGAACCGCGGTAATCGTGTAGGACAAATGTGGAGCACATGCCGTCGAGGTGCAGAAGAAAGCAGATAATAAGTAAAGAGACTTGAGTAACATCAAACTGATACAGTGACGCACTTCTTTGTAATTTGTGCTCCTCATTTAAAAAATGTCTTGATAAATTGTGAAATAATACAGAGTGCATAGGATTATATATTCCCGCTCGACACAATTTCTATTCAAATGCAAAGCAAACGTCCGAAATTCTATTTCACCCGACTTTGTGTATTTCCCTTAGATTCGTTATAAAAATGACTTTTCATATCGTAATTTTCTTCCGAGTTTGTAGAAAATGTTCCTCTTAACTTTGCAACTGTAGAGGCAGTTATATATAATTTAATTATACCTGCAACGGATTCTAGTTTGCCGTTAGGTCAGAAGTGGCCTGTAATTAATTCGGGCATCCTCGCAACCAAAAGCTGCAAGGCGCGCTTGCGAGCAACTTGTGACCCGCTACCACCAGTTTTCACGAGCGCGAAAGAGTGCCGCATTCTTTTCTTTATGACACGGATATTGTACATCATTTGTTTTTCAACGCCACAATACGCAGTAATATAAACAGTCTCCCCGGGAACGCAAATAAGGAGTGCAAGATTAATATGCAATAAAGCGGACTGTATTAAAATGTAATATTTGAGCTTATGAAATTAAAACAAATTTTAATGACGATGTAAAAGCCAGACAAAAATGTATTTCTATGAAAACGCGGCAGCTTATCTTATCCTTTTTATCATTGGCGGTTTTATCAATTCCATTATCCGTGTAGTACTTTCCGCGTTATTATAATCATTCGCCGCAACGAAGACCAAACGGCCGCGGCCGCGAACGAAAGGCGAAATAAAAAAAACCCAATATCGTGCCGTTGGCAGCAAATTTGCTAAATATTTATCGCGACTGTGCACGATGCGCGCATGACTACCCACGTATTTCGATCAAAAATTCATGAAGTACGGCACGGTATATTTGCCTTTACAATTCGAGCAGCGGAAGCAGCGAACGTATTTAGTGTTTTTGATTCAAGGAGAGGCTCCGGCAATTGCCGCGGACGGATCCTCCGCAAAGAAAGCGGAATCTAATCCAATTCAAGATATAAGACAGGCTCGAGAGGGATTTACTTCTAACGCGGAGCACCGTACACCTATATAGACGCTGCGTGGGAAATTATCGGCTGCGATTATTCTCGCGATCTCTCTCGCGCTCCCGGACAGTTGTAACGAAGGGGTTGTTCCGATAAACCAACAAAAGGGCGGGCCGGCGGTGGATTCCCGGGTAAGGTAAAGGCGTAGAGCGACACGAGTAGGGCAGGGTTACGGATACGGGGTTACGGCATTACTATCCTGATAATGGAGTGGCGGTCAATGGGGCGATAGATCGCGCCGTGGAGACGGCGCGCCGTAACGCGCGGGAGCCGAGCAAGCTCCCGAGGGAGCCGCTCACCCCCTTCGCCTGCCAGTTCCAGGCCACGTATAGCGAACGTCGTCGTTTCACCCTCCCCCCTGTCTTTCTCATGGCTGTATTCGATCCCCCTTCTGCATTTCCGCTTTCTCTAACTCTCTCTCTCTCTCTCTCTCTCTCTCTCTCTCTCTCTCCCTCTCACACCCTCTTTCTCGCCCGTCGATTCCTATCGGCCGGGGTAGACGTTTCCGCGTTGAATGCGCGTTCTTGACGTAACGTAGGGTCGCTACCGCTCTCGCAAAAGCTGTCGCTGGGAAACTGCAGTGCGCCTGGACGAAAGTGTTTTCCAAAGTCGATGATACTCGTCACGTTTTTCCGTGGATAGATACGAACGCGCGCGCCTGTCGAGGAAACTCAGGATCGTCGGATCGCGCGGGCACCTGCGGAAGAGGTCTACAAATATCGTCGCCTTACGATTTTATTGGCCGAACCCGGTGCGCCTTTATTATTTATTTTACGATAAGGTTAGTGTGTCAACTGAGATACATCGTAAACGTGTATACACAAGATCGCTTATAATTCGAGCGGCTTAAAGAGTTAAAAAAAATAGAAGATTACATTCTGGAAAGAAGTAATATTTCTTGATAAAACTATATTACGTGACAAGCTTACGGGCTCCACGATGTGGTAGTATTCGATTTGAAGTTTATTTAATTAGAGTAAATTTAATGAAAAGCATCTTTATTAATTCTTACTTGAATAATATTCATCAACATGTGCCAGTCTTCGCTTTGATTATTACTTTATTGGACCAATTTTATTGCTATTTCCACTGCTATTTTATTCCGTGCTTCTTGCAAGTTTTTCCACGCGTCCTCCTATTTATAGAAAACGTAGATTTTAATAAATATAAAATAACAACGCAATACCAACTTAAAAACAATTGATGACAGCTCGATTAACGTTATTAACGTTATTTCAATGTAAACTTGGTACAATTACCAAGATGCTGCAAAAACAATTAAAATTATTCCAATAAAGTCTTCACAACTAGCGAATAGCAATTCTGTGCAACGGTACAGAACATTGGAAGAAGATATAAAATATCTGTCGTTCAAATAATTCTCTAATTCAAATAATTCACGCGTTTACGATATATAATATTTCAGTCGAGTCATACAAACCTTATCACAAAATAAATAATAATAAATAATTCATACATACACATACTGTATATATTTATATACTATATATATGTGTACATATATATGTGTGTGCTAGAAACGCGATGTGACGTTGTCATGTTCAAACTGCACTCGTATTTGTTCGATTCGCGATAACAAATCCGCAGAACGTATGGATGCGCGCGTTATACCGTCAATTCGACTGTTGTATCAGCCTACCGCAACTATTCGGCGCTACGACGTCAAATATTGACAGATAATATTATGGACGTTCGCGATTTCCGCCGTGATTTAGAAATTCATGTGACGTTACGTACCGACGTGATTTTATCCGGGAAAAAAAGTTAGATATTATCCTATTACGCGGCGAGATAATAAATAATACGCACGCGGTCAATTCCCGCACTCACGTCGCCCGCTTCTTCATCCTTTCATGAATAAATCGCCGGATATAATTCGCATCGGGGTAAATGTAATCTATTCTTATTGCGTGACGCAGGAGCCGAATTGATCAAATTGGACGAGCATATTCGCTCGTTGGAGAATAAAATGGCTGTTAGAGATGAGGGGGGCATTTATGCGAAATAAATATGCGTTTGTTACGCGGCGCGGTACTAGGGCAGGGGACAACCGCGAGATTAAATGGTATAGGCTTGGGAAGCTGTCAAGTGTTGGTCCAGTCAAGCTTTGTCCGCCCATGAAACATCAATCCCCGACCTGAAATAACATTATCTCAAAGTTCGTTGATTAAACTCGACGTTTCGCAAGATTTGCCGGACGAGAGAGAGTGGCGCAGCGTTATTTGATTATATTGCGGAGATCTGTAAGTCAATGAAATCAATAATCTATTGACCGTCGTGTCGAAAATTCGTCACGATTATCTAGAGTAGTAGAACGGTATTTTGCGATACGCACGCGCAGTTGAAGAAGAGTAAGAACTGATACTCGCGATTTGCGAATAAATTAGACGCGTTGCTTTACGAGAGAAATATTCTTTTCAGAACTATATCCAATATGAGATTGGGTTTATACGTCATCACTCTATTGCTAGTGTCAATAATGGCGGCGGCGGCGTTCACGATACCGCTAAACAGACTGCGGCAGCACAAGCAGAAAAACACAAGAAGAAATACGCAGTTCAACCTGCGCAAACAGGCCTTGTTGCACCGGTCGCATCCGTCCTCTTAAAACACTTGCAAGCTCCACGATAATCTTCCTCGCACGCGACGTGAATATCTCAACGTGTAAAGCAATTAACGTTAACAAGAAACTTTATATTATGCGTATTATGTAGTAATATTATAGTAATACGCGGTAGTATTGTATAATGGTATTAAGCGGTAGTATTGTAGGCTACGCAATTCTAGTGTTTTATAACAATTTAATGAGTTTCAAGTAAACTCGTTTCAAATAAATTCACCACTTCTCATTCTCTACTACCCTAAACACCTTTCGTCGCGTACTATTTAGAGCGAGAGACGTTGTGTTTAATGTCGCAACATATCATGAGATAACATCGCGGGTAAAAGTGTCGGAATGATATCCGTTATAATGCAGGATTTGTTCAACAGTCGATATAAATTGTGCTATAATGAGTAGCGTATTTCTTTCAACGGTGCATAGATAATAAATTCATACACACGTGCGTGTGTGTTTATTCAAGCGGGCAATCGGGCGTGTTATCGCGAATCGTAAATCAATGACTATTAACTTTAGAGCAACCGATGGATCATTTTAATTTAAAAAAAAAACAAAAAACACAAGATACGGTGATTTATGGATATCCTCTTAACGTTTGTGAGATCAGAGAGACGTCTAGTAGTAAGTTCTATATCTGCTCGTAAATCCGTACGCCTAGAATCTGTCATAAAAATACGCTCGAAGATAAAGCGACTCACTTTTAAAACTGGGTAAATGCCTCGTCACACGGAGTCAAAGCAACGCCTTGTGCGACATGAATATTTACTACCGGAGGTGATTTTTGTAAGCTCCGGAGGACTAGCGAGAGAGAGAGAAAGATTTCTCAATGATATCTCAGCGCCTTTCAGAAGACCGTATCTCGTACAGATTTCCGTGCTCCATTTCTGCGCTTACTTCGATTTTGCATTTTATTTCACACATTAGCATTAGCCGCTCCGACGTATCGCCTATCATTATAAATAAAACATTCTCACTTTTTTACCTCGAAACAAAACGATTAGCCGTAGAGAGTTTTTTTCATGATTGCGAGAGGTCAGTGTGGAGTCTACCACTCTCAACGGAAATTATTTTCTAAACGTTTGACTTTTTACAAAATAATATCAAATGTTGACCGTATCTGGCAATTTTTATGTTTAAACATCGCTACGTTTCGACCATGGGTCTTGGCCCTTTTTAAGCGATCTGACAATACAAATTAAAGATTTACAAATTATTACGTAAATAAAGTAAACAAGTCCGAGATATTAAGTTCACAGTTACAAAAATTAGAATTGTTTTATGTAGCCGCGAAATATGTAGCCAATCAATATAGCAGTTCCACAAAAGCTGCAAGTTGATTGGCTACGCATTTCTCAAAACTAGAACTTGGACCAAGTACTAGCATCATGGACACAGGCCTTAATTCGCCTGAATAGATACAGAGTTTCTAAATTTCTAAACAGTTGCTATTCTTTTCATCGGTGCTGTCGATACGTTATTGGCCGAATGAGATGTATTTACAGGATGGTTACGGTAGAAGAAAGATACGCGTTATACATATAAAATAAAAAATAATAAAGTACTTAGTTTGTAAAAATATTCAGTTTAGTTGGTGCCATTTTATTATTAACTCCATTATTTTTTCCAATAAAATCTTTAGTTTGATTTTTAAGAAATATAACATTTTTTAAATAAAAAACTAATACTAAAGCAACTAGTTTGTATAAATATCCGTTGTTATATTTGGCGCAATTTGTTGATATCATTACTTTTGTAGAGAAGATAGTTTTGTAGAGAAGATATTTTTATAGAGACGATATTTTTGTACAGAAGATTTTTGTGGAGACACTATTTTTGTAAAGAAGATACTTTTGCAGTAAAGATATTTTTGTAGAGAATATACTTTTGCAAAGAGAGAGAGAGAGAGAGAGAGATGCAGAAATTTCGGTTGAAATTAATAATACATGGACTTACATGGTATAACAATTTTGTGTCGGAGTTTGCTACACGAGAACATACCTTGAGAGATGACGGAGCATGACTGACTAAAATATTAGGCCGAGGGTACAATTAAAAACAAGTAAAAGTCGCAAGGAAAAAGTCAAAAGAATAAATAAGTAGTGCTGTCCGGAATTAAGTTAGGTCAATTATGCGGTCATAAATAGCGTTGAGATTTTCAGTGTCTTTTTGTAAATTGATTGTATCATTAGTCATTTTTGTAAAAACCATTTCTGCTATCTCTCTCCTTCTTACAAGTATGTTACTCTCACGGTGTAAAACATGCGAAAACATCTTTACAAAATGTTTCTGCGGTATGTTTAGTAGCTTAAAGATGTACTGGACGGATTATGTCGTCCCAAAGTTAATCTAAAAATCAGAAAATTAAAAGTGAACAAATTCTAGCGGATGCATAATCGTAAAACATTCATAGTTTAAAGCATTGTGAATGGATTTGATTTCGATGAAAATGTAAGCTTACAAAGTTAAATCGATATGCGACGCTGTCACTTTCCGTCAATAACGCGATAATCATATCGGTTTTTTCAACAATAATTGCAAAACGAGCAAATCGTTTTAAAACTTTGCAGAAACATTTTTACCCGTTTGAAGTACATGATACAAAATATCGAATTTTTAGTACTTTTTGATAGTTTCCGAATGATATATTGTATTTGTTTTTTCCAAAGTTCCCGTAAGACCCTATGTTAAAATAGCAGTATTCAATAATTAACAGCTTTTAAATGGGCAAGTAAAAACGTGGGAAATAATCCGTCATGATCTGGCACGTTATTAAGAGTGTCAAGTTAAAATTTCACGACAATAACATCGATTGCGCTACATCTATCCAATCCCTCAAATTGCTCGATAGGATTTCGAACATTGATGCAAATGGACACGAACTTAACGCTGTGTTCTTGTCTAATATAATATGTCACAGCACTCTGCTTTAATAGCAAATGTTCCCAGGCAAAGAAATAGGCCACTGGTTTAGTATGAATCATCTTGTAACGTCAATGACGTCGCGTTTTACCATGGCGATAGAGGCAGCCCGTTCCACTTTGAAGTGAACTGCGAAACGACATTGGTTACGATCGAAATAAATGGTCTCTACGATAGAAGACGGAGGAGGAACGTTAACGTGATGGAGGTAGAATTCGTCGTAGTTTTATTCTGATGTTGGGCTCACGTTCAATCGTGCAGGTGGAAAGGGGGGGGGGGGTTGCGGGAACGTGGGTGGTTATGGGAGAAGCGGTAAGGCGCTGCAGATTCTCAGAGACGGTTCGGTCTGCCGATCGCTAAAAGAATCAAATAAAGAACGGGGCTCCCTTGCGAAATTTCGCGCTGATACCGTGTACACACATTCGTTATACGCGAGACGAAGCGTATATAAATTTCGCACGCCGAAAATTTAATCTCTCTTCGATTTTTCATTTCCACCGCGATTTTTCTGTATATTTATGGTAAAAAATGAGCTCGAATTACGTAATAAATGAAACGCAAGGTAATGCGGAATTGATAATATAAATGGTAATACGCGCGGAAAATTTACGAGAGGCGGACGCATCGTATATCTGCTTATTGCTCTTTGCCTGGCATTATTTACCCTCGGCAAAAACGTACAATGACTGGGAGAAGCAGGATAGAAAATAACAAGTTTAAATGTTTAACGGGAGTCCCCGCATCTCACACACGCGCATATTTCGGTAATTCCAGTTTCTTTGAATTCCCTCATACGTCGGGAAAACGTCATGAAGTACGGAGAAACGTGTTTTCCCCGTGCACACACACACATACTTTTGCTTGGTAAGTATGAAAAGAACGTTGCTGACTGCAGTTACGAGCGAGATAAGATTCGGTACTTCCCGTCAACGAAATAAAGCGCGCGCATAATGAGGAATCATATATACATATGTGCTACTCGAGTGTATATAACGACGTTTGGAAAGTTACAATCACATTTCTATTTGCAAGCGTGAGAAGACAGCAGTTGATCACATTCGCGAATATATCCGCGAGGAAATATAAGAAGACACAAGCAAGGTACGTCTACGTGTTCTTACTTATTTTATGTGGAAGAAAGAAATATCATAGAGAAAAAGAGAATACGAATTATAATTTTCTCTCTTGCTTTCAATGATATAATTTCCTTTGCTCGTTATAAAGCAATTTTCAGTTGACGTTGTAAAATTCTATATTCTCATGCTTTCAATATGTTTCGCTAAAATGTCTTGAAAGCAGTTTCAAATATATTAAACCGCCAACGCTTACGTGCTTATTTTGTACCTGACTCAATACGTAAATTTATGTTTCTATACATATGTATATTGTATATAAATTTGGCTTTCAGAAATATATAGAGCGCAATATGAAATTTCACTTGTTCGTCTTCACTCTGCTCTTGACGGTGATGGCAGTCTTTGCGTACCAACCGCCGGTCCAGAAACCGCCTCCAGGTGGTTGGAAACCTTTCCCGACTTTTCCTGGTCACGGGCCTTTTAACCCGAAGAGCAGGTTTCCTCATTAGGCGCAGATAATGCAACTAAACGATCACTTTTACTGACGCTGTGCGTGCGAAAATGATACCGATTGTTTGTATGACCACCGGCCAGCGCAGCAAGTACGACATAAGGCGATATACGAATATTTTGTGATAAAAAGACATAAATATAAAAATCCAAGTATTATTTAATTATCGTTTGTTATTATTTCGTGTCTTAATTCCGGTTAGAAGTAGTGATTGTTTCAGATCGAGGTGAAGGAACGTATGTTTTCCTTTATTATACAGGGTGAGTCTTTCCATATCCGACAAAATTTTTGAGAAGGTAAAACGGATCGAGATGAACGAAAAAGTCCTGTACCATTTTGCAATTTTCGTAATAGTTAACGAGTAATTAATTATTAAAAATCGTTGTCTTAGGCCGGCCTACCGCCCAATTCGAGCGCGTGGCAAGATGTGACCGCCCGGCGATCGATATTGCTATGCGCACATCTCGCCACGCGCTCGAATTGGGCGGTAGGCCAGTCTAAGACAACGATTTTTAATAATTAA